AAATTATTTTATTAATTTGTCATTATTGTCGGAATAATGTTTTGATAGAGTTAATTGTTATGTATAAATATTATAATTATCTATTAATGTTATCATCTATTATGTAATTATTAGATAAAGTTATTCATTATTAATTATTGATATTAATGTTAACTCATTTATTATTGATTATTATATTGTTATTATAATTATCGGTTCATTATTGTATATTAATGCATTGATTTTTTATATGTATCATTAAAAACTTAATTATGAATAAGTAATTATAAGATGTTATTGAGATTTGTTTGGGATTAATGTTAAATAATTTATTATGATGTTTTCATTTTTATTAATATGTGATATTATCTTTACATATTATTATTAACATCATCACTTAGCGTTTTATTATATAATACATCATTTTCATCACTCTTGTCATTAATCACAATTATAGAAATAACTTAGATATTTATACATATTACTGGTATAAATGGTAGTACTTGCTTCTCTCTATCCTCCATCATCCTCTCTATGTTAATGATAATTCACTACCAATTCATCCAGTCTTCATAAATTCGTCACTTCTCTCTCTTTCATATCTCATATGCTCATTCTCTTCTCAATCTCTCTTCTCAATCTCTCTGCATCTCATCTCTCTCTCTCTCTCCCGCATCGTCATCCGCTCCCTCCCTCCTTCATTCCCTCCCTCCCTCCCTCGTCTTCCTCTCCCCTCCCTTTCTCTCTTTTCCTCTCCCTCTGTCCCTCTCCCATCTCCTGCTTTCCTTTCTTCTCCTTCTCTCTCTCTCTCTCTCTCTTCTCTCTCTCATCTCTCTCTCTCTCTCTCTCTCTCTCTCTCTCTCTCTCTCTCTCTCTCTCTCTCTCTCTCTCTCTCTCCTCCCTCCTCCTCCCCTCCCCTCCCTCCCTCCCTCCCTCCTTTCCTCCTCTCCTCCTCCCCTTCCTTCCTCCCTCTCCCTCCCTCCCTCCCTCCCTCTCCCTCCCTCCCTCCTTTCCTCCCTCCTCCCTCCTCCCTTTCTCCCCCTCTCCCTCCCTCCCTCTATCTCCTTCTCCTTCTCTCTCCCTCTATCTCCTTCTCCTTTTTCCTGCCTCTCCTCCTCCTTCTCCCTGCCTCTCTCTCCTTCTCCTTCTCCCTCCCTCTGTCTCCTTCTCCCTCCCTCTATCTCCTTCTCCTTCTCCATCCCTCTATCTCCTTCTCCTTTTCCCTGCCTCTCTCTCCTTCTCCTTCTCCCTGCCTCTCTCTCCTGTTTCCGCTCCCCCTCTCTTCTTCTCCTTCTCCCTGCCTCTCTCTATTTCTCCTTCCCCCTCCCTCTCTCTCTCCCTTCCTCTCCTTCTCCTTCTCCCCCTCTCTCTCCCAATTTCTCCCTCTCTCTCCCTCTCCTTCTTCCTGCCCCTCTCTCCTTCTCCCTTCCTCTCTCTCCTTCTTCTCCCTTCCTATCCTTCTCCTTCTCCCCCTCTCCCTCCCAATTTCTCCCTCTCCTTCTTCCTGGCCCTCTCTCCTTCTCCCTTCCTCTCTCTCCTTCTTCTCCCTCCCTCTCTCTCTTTCCTTCTCGCTCTTTCTTTCTCTCTCCGTCTCTCCGTACCTCTCTTCCCCCTGACTCCCGCCTGACGGCCTCTCGCCCGCAGACCCCTACGTGAAGATCTACCTGCTGTACAACGGGCAGCGCGTCGCCAAGAAGAAGACGCACGTGAAGAAGCGGACGTTGAACCCGGTCTTCAACGAGTCGTTCGTGTTCGACCTGCCGGCGGGCGTGGTCGGCCTCGAGAGTATCAGCCTCGAGTTCCTGCTCCTCGACTGGGATCGCGTCACGAAGAACGAGGTGGGTCCCTGGGTAAGGGGACGACGGGGGTAGGGTTGAAGAGAGAGAGAGAGAGAGGGGTGGGTGGGAAGGAGAGAGAGGGAAGGAGGGGAGAGAGAGAGAGATGGAGGGATGGGGGGAGATAGAGAGAGAGAGGAGGAAGGGAGGGGGTGAGAGAGAG